GCATTATTGTTCTATCATTCCCCCATTTTTTTCTTTAATAATGATGAAGCTGGGGCTGAGGATCAGGAATTGGGGTGAAGCATCGGTCTCTTTAGCTGCTTCCTGCTGGCAGGACCTTTACAGCAATTTTTCCAGGCAGTTTTGTAGAGATTGATATCCCTGGAGGTACAACTGGTTAAGTTTTTGATTGGCGATAGCAGACATACGGTCTAAAAGAAATCTTTGTACTGTTCTTATGATACAAGGGAGGAAGCTTAAGAATATGAGAGCAAGAAACATAGGCATTAGGATGGGCATCAGCCAGGAGAACCACTGTGAAATGTTATTCCCTAGAGGACTCCAAGAGTCCTCCAACTCCCTTCTCCATTTTTCTAATTGTTCCTGGAGTTGCCTAATTTTATTTTTTTACTACCCCTGACTGGTTAACATAGAAGCAGCACTCTTCTTGTAAAAATAGGCAGAGACCACACTTCTTTGCAATGAGCAGGTCAAGACCTCGTCAGTTTTGGAGTACAACTAAGGCTAGGGAGCCAAGTTGTTTTTGTAAGGTTAGGATAGTCTCTTTTTGACCACCATTTGAAGATCACTTATCAATTGATTAGAGAATTTTGTTTAGTAGTGGACAGAGGTTCCTATTCCCGCAGCCCCCATTCCCATGGCAGCTCTTATTCCCAGGGTACCTAACAAGGGAGTAGCCTGAATTGTCCTTTTAGATCAAAGGCATGCGGTGAGGGGGATGGGGAGGTCCTGATCTTCTGTAGTAATATCCATGTTAGGAACCAAAAATACCAGAGTGCAAATACCCTTCCAGGCTTGGGGTAAATGGGTATACACCCTGACCACATAGAAAGAGAGTCCCGGGAATGGGGAGCAGCAGATATTGTTTCCGGTTTTGTTGGCCACCCTAGTGGCGTGACATTTTTTGGCCACCAGGGAGCCTTCCTCAACTATCCCTGAGGAACTGTGCAGGCAAAGAGAGGCTGGCTGGGAGAGGGGAACTGGGGAAAGAGTGGAGGCAGTGGGCCTTTTGGTGAAGGAACAGTTTAAGGGAAAGGGTGTGGAAATGTTTATGGGGCTGGCAATGACCTGAGAAGGGCCAGTCTGCTGACACATCCAACAACCACAGGCTAGAGTAGGATTGGTGTGGTTGAGTAGTTGATGAGTGGTATTTATGACCTGGAAGAGAAGGGTTTCAGAAAGGGACAGCGTGTGTAAAGGAATTTTAAGAGGCTTTCTGGTGGGAAAGAGTAAGTCATTTAGTCTTTGAGGTACCTGGGTATGGAGGACCTTCCAGAGAGCCTCATCCTGGACTCCGCCTCCATCAGATATACCAAGCTGTGAGGTAAGTCCAGCATACCTATTGCCCCCTCTTCCTGTGGCAGCAGTAGCCAGCACGGTCACTTTGCTGATACCCGTCCAATATTTTTGATCAAGATGTTGACATAAAGTGGTGGTGCTATAGCACGCCTTTTGCATGATGGTATACGCTGTAAATGGCTGGCATGGGCCGGTGTGGGGGAGGCCCCTGCTTGCAAAGGTCCAAGTCATAAGAAAGAAGAGAGCACAAGGAGTAAGGTGCACAGGGTGAGGTATCCAAAACAGAGAGCTGCGTGATGGGGCCATCTCCACTCAGGGGGAGAAGTTGCCCACAGGCCAATACTTAGAAGAGAAGGGATGAGGACAAGAATTACCCACAGAAAGGGATAGAGTGAAAGCATAGGTGGTGTGGTTTACAATAAGGGAAAAAGAATATTGGAAAATGAATAGATTTCTTCAGGAGTAAAGTCTGAGAGAGTACCTTGGAGGTAAAGGCTGGCTATCCAATCTGTGAAGTAGGGGAAAAGAAGATATGAAAAAGGAGGGAGGCTGATTGTGCTGGGAGGTGGGAAAGATAAAAATCTCAGAGTGGAGTGTATATATGAAAGAGTAAAAGCGTGGACAGGCACTGACAGGAAAGAATAGGAGAGGGGAAGTATAAAGAGTGAGTAGGCGAGATGCCAGGTCCCTAGGCATAGGGCTCCGGCCTATACCCCAGGAGTCTCCATGGGTGTGTCTCCATCTTCTAGGATCTTGGAGAGGCAGGAGATCTTTATTTTTGTTTGGTCCTGTAAGAAGAGATTAGTAGGTCTTTTGTGGGGCTGCCAATTTTAGATTTTGAACATGTACCCTGGAGGGAAATCCTGCTAGCTTAGCAGCCATGAGTATGGCAAGGATGACCTTAAATGGGCCTCTCCACTTTTCTTGTAGGTGGCCGGTGTAGCTGTACTTTTTAGATAAACCAGATCTCCCATTTGGAGGGAGGGGCTGTGGCAACTGGTCATGAGCATGAGACCAAAGGAGAGAGTGAAGAAAAGTGAGGAGAGGATTGAGGAGAGTGGGGGAAATGTTAGGGGGTTCTGGTTGAACTGTGATAGGGAGGAGTGGACGGCCATAGAGGAGCTCAAAGGGGCTGAGCATGAGTGGTCTTTTTGGGAGGCCCTGGAGGAGGAGAAGGACTAGGGGTAAGAGCTTTGTCCAGTCTAGGTGGAGCTCAAGGGAGAGTTTGGTGAGAGTATTTTTTCAGTGTGCGATTGGCACGTTCAACTTTACCTGCAGTTTGGGGGTGATAGGGATTGTAAAATCTCCAGTGAATATTTAAGGCTTGTGCCAATTTTTGGGAAATTCGTTGTCTGACTGGATGGAGGCTGGGAGACCAAACCGTGGGATGGTGTCTGTGACCAAAATCATTGTTATGGTGGAGGTCTTTTTATTGGTTGTAGGGAAGGCCTCCACCCATCCTGTGAAGGTGTCTACCGATACAAGGAGGTACTTAATCCTCTTTACTGGAAGCATATGTGTGAAGTCCACCTGCCAATCCACAGCAGGGAGACATCCCCTGACTTGGTGGGTAGGAAAGGGAGGGGGTCTGATATTGGAGTTGGGGTTTGTGCGCTGGCAAATTGAGCAGGATTGGGTAATCTGTTTAAGGTATTGTATGTCTCCTGGAGATAGGGAAAGGGATTGGCATAGAAAGGTGTAAAGAGCATGAAGGTTAGGATGAAAAAGCTTATGTAAATAGGAGAGAAGAGTTTTAACTTCAGAAGGAGGGATAGAGAATTTGGGGGGGGAGGAAGCTGGGGTAAAGGGTACATGGTCAATTGGGGTGCAGTTTGGAGGGCTGCTCGCTTGGCCTCTGTATCCACTCAGTTATTTCCTCTGGTAATTATGGAAGAGTCAGTTTGGTGGGCTTTGCAATGAGTAATGCCCATCTGGGAAGGAAGGTTTGAAGCCTCTAAGACCTGGGCTATTAAAGGCAACATTGATAGTGGGAATTCCTCTTGTAGTTAGGAATCCCCTTTCCTTCCAGATAGCAGAGTGGGACAATAAAGTGTGAAACACATACTTAGAGTCAGTGTAAATGTTGACAGTGTTGTCTTTTGCCAGGGTTAGAGCTCTGGCCAGGGCAGTCAATTCTGCCTTCTGGGAAGTAGCACCCAAAGGGAGAGGGCGTGCCTCAATGATGGTGGAATCAGACATGATGGTGTATCCAGCTCTTCACTGTCCATTGTGAATGAAGGAGCTGCCTTCAATGAACCAAGTATAGTCAGCCTGAGAAAGGGTGCCCTCCTGAATGTGGTCTGGGCAGGGGAGGAGCTCCTCAAGGATCTTGGGGCAGGAGTGAACAAGGGGTGTTGAAGAGAGAGGAAGAAGAGTGGCTGGGTTAAGTGGGGGACACGAGATGAAAGTTAGAGTGGGATCCTTGACCAAGGCCACCTGGAGGGATAGGATACAGGAGGGGGGCATAAAGTAAAGTCCCTTATATGTGAGGCTTTCCAAGAGGCTATGGGGGGAGTAAGCAGTAAGGGGGGACCCAAAGGTAAGCTTTTTGCTTTCCTGGATCAAGAGAGAGGCAGCTGCCACAGGCCCATCCCCTGGTTGTGGGGTCTAACTGTTTGGAGAGGTATGATGCTGGAGCGAAGGAGGGTCCTATGTTGTGTCCCAGAACTCCTAGGGCAAACCCTTGCCTCTCAGAAATGCAAAGGAAAAAGGGGTGAGTGAAGTCTGGTAGCGAAGTGCCAGGGCTTGTAACAGGAGGGTTTTAAAATGAACTGACATAGGCCGAGAGGGGTCCAGGGGCTCTTGAATGGGACCCCTGGATACCTCATATAGAGGCTTGGCCATTAGACTGAAGTTGGGCACCCAGGCTCTGAGGTAGCCAGCCAGGCCAAGGAAGGAGAGAATTTCAGCCTTGGTGGTGTGGGCAGGGATAGAGGCTAACGGCCTTATGATCTATGGTGATAGCCTTATGAGTAGGGGAGATTGCTAGGCCTAGGTAAGTCATCTGGGTGAGAGACAGTTGAGCTTGTTAAGGGACACACAGTATCCCTTTTTTCCCAGAAAATTAAGCAGGAGGGCAGTGTGTTGTTGGCTATCCTTGAGAGAGGGGCTGCAGAGCAGGAGATCATCTACATACTGGAGGAATTTACTTGGGGAGAGACATAGGGTAAGGAGGTCCCTAGCCAGAGCTTGGCCAAAGAGGTGGGGACTGTCCCGGAACCCCTGAGGCAGAACAGTCCAGGTCATTTGTTGGGAAGTATGAGAATCTGGATCAGTCCAGGTGAAGGCAAAGAGGTTTTGGGACCGTGGGTGGACAGGGATAGTGAAGAAAGCGTCTGTTAGGTCCAGGACTGTGAAATGGGTGGTGGTACCGGGGATGAGAGACAGGAGAGTGTAGGGGTTGGGCACCACCAGGTGTATAGGAGTCACTGCCACATTGACTAAGCGGAGTTCCTGTAAAGACCCATTGGGCTTTTTTATAGGCAGAATAGGAGTGTTATAGGGGGAGTGGGTTGGGTGAAGCAGGCCTTAGTGAGAAGCTCTGAGATGATAGGCTTTAATCCTGTAAGTGGATTAGAGAAATGTGATATTGAGGTTGGTTTGGGAAAACAGAGGGATCCTTGAGAGTAATAACAATTGGCTCATGATGGGTAGTGACTGCAGGGTTCTGGAGGTCCCACACAATGGGGTCCACCAGTGTAGCAGGTAAGGGCAAGGGGGTCAGGAGGGGCTTTTGGAAGCAGGGCACCCATAACAGCAAGAGGGGCTGTGAGGATGGAGACAAGGGGTTAATGGGTCATGGCTTAAGAGGGGGTGGGTGTAAGGTGAGAGTGGCCTGAAATTTTGACAAAATGTCCCTTCCCAAGAGTGGGGTGGGGCAATTTGGGAGGACTAGAAAGGAGTGAGTAAAAAGTGTATCTCCCAGTATGCAGGTTAAAGGAAAAGTCATTAAGGGCTGGGTAGGAGTTCCCTCCAACCCGACTATGGAGGTTAAAGAAGGCTTGGTAGGTCCCCAGAACTCCAGCAAGGCAGAAAAAGTGGCACTGGTATCTATGAGGAGAGAGATAGGCCTACCTTCGAAGAGGGCAGTTACCCTGGGCTCCTGTGAAGTTATGGTCGTCAGGCCAGGGATTCCTGGGCTCTGTCAGTCATCAGCCACAGTCACCAGTCCTAAAAGATCAGTTAGGGAGGAGGGACGGTCAGGGGGCTTAGACCCTCCACCTTGAGAGGTGGAGGGGCAGTCCATTGCTCAGTGGCCCTCCAGTTTGCACTTAGGACATGGCTCTAGCGAGTGGCATGGTTTAGGACATGCATGGGCCCAGTGTCCCTCAAGGCCACACCGAAAACATGGGCCCGGAGGTGTTTGGGATTTTTCCTGGCCTTGGGAGTTAGAGGTTAGAGGCCTTTGTCAGAGGGCTTGTGCCAACATCTGGAATTTAGCTTTATCTCTCCTTTCCTTAGCAGCCCTTTGTTGTTCTTCTTGGCAATTATAGACCTTGAAGGCCATGTTTAAAATTTCAGCCTGTGGAGTCTGAGGGCCATTTTCTAGCCTTTTAAGTTTTCTTCTTATATCTGAGGCTGACTGGGAGATAAAGTGTGTCATAAGAATGATTGTCCCGTCCTGAGTTTCAGGGTCAACTTTTGTATGGCATCATAGTGCCTCTGTGAGCCGGAACAAGAAACTAGCTGGATTTTCCTCTTTTTCTTGTTGAATTTCTCTGAGTTTATCAAAATTAACAACCTTTTGGGCTGCCTTTTTTAGTCCTGCCACTAAACAAGTAACCATCTGATACCTAAGCATTCTGTCATTGGTTTGGTAATTCCAATTAGGCTCCTACAGGATGGGTGGGGGTGGTGCGATGGACCTCATCTGCATGTGCCCTAGCCGTGTCCCAGACCCTGTGTCTCTCCTCTGGAAGGAGGGTGGAGGAAAGAATGAGATAGATGTCATGCCAAGTAAGGTCACAGGATTGAGCCAAGTATTGGAATTCTTTAACATAAGAATCTGGGTTAGTGGTGAAAGAGCCAAGGTGCTTTTCTATCTGAGAGAGGTCAGTGAGGGAAAAGGGGACATGGACCCTCACAATGCCTTCTGCTCCAGCCACTTCCCGGAGAGGGTAGATGGAAACTGGCTGACTGGAGAGTCTGTGAGAGTGAGTATGTGGGGGGCTCATGGGATCCTGTGGTTCTGGGTGGGCAGAAGGATGGGTGGAAGGAGGGGTGGAAGGAGGGGCCGGGGCTGATGACTAAACAATGGATTTTCCTTTGCTAAGTAGAAAGAACATCCTATTATTACCACCATTCACAACAACTAGTTTGTGTGAACTGGAGTTCTCAGTCTGAACCCAGTTAAAAATCAAAGGGAGGCAATGAAACCCCAGCAGCACAGCAACTAAGAGATAGCATAGATAAATGGGACCTCATAAAACTAAAAATCTTCTGTTCATCAAAAGAAATGGTCTCTAAACTGAAGAGAACACCCACAGAGTGGGAGAAAATATTTGCCAACTATACATCAGACAAAGGACTGATAACCAGAATATACAGGGAACTTAAAAAACTAAATTCTGCCAAAACTAATGAACCAATAAAGAAATGGGCATGTGAACTAAATAGAACTTTCTCAAAAGAAGAAATTCAAATGGCCAGAAAACACATGAAAAAATGCTCACCATCTCTAGCAATAAAGGAAATGCAAATTAAAACCACGCTAAGATTCCACCTCACCCCTGTTAGAATAGCCATCATCAACAACACCACCAACAACAGGTGTTGGCGAGGATGCGGGGAAAAAGGAACCCTCTTACACTGTTGGTGGGAATGTAGACTAGTACAACCACTCTGGAAAAAAATCTGGAGGCTACTTAAAAAGCTGGACATCGATCTACCATTTGATCCAGCAATACCACTCTTGGGGATATACCCAAAAGACTGTTACTCCAGAGGCACCTGCACATCCATGTTTATTGCGACACTATTCACAATAGCCAAGTTATGGAAACAGCCAAGATGTCCCAGCACTGACGAATGGATTAAGAAAATGTGGTATCTATACACAATGGAATTTTATGCAGCCATGAAGAAGAACGAAATGTTATCATTCGCTGGTAAATGGATGGAATTGGAGAACATCATTCTGAGTGAGGTTAGCCTGGCTCAAAAAACCAAAAATCGTATGTTCTCCCTCATATGTGGACATTAGATCAAGGGCAAACACAACAAGGGGATTGGACTTTGAGCACATGATAAAAGCGAGAGCACACAAGGGAGGGATGAGGATAGGTAAGACACCTAAAAAACTAGATAGCATTTGTTGCCCTTAAGGCAGAGAAACTAAAGCAGATACCTTAAAGCAACTGAGGCCAATAGGAAAAGGGGAACAGGTACTAGAGAAAAGGTTAGATCAAGATAATTAACCTAGAAGGTAACACCCACGCACAGGAAATCAATGTGAGTCAATGCCCTGTATAGCTATCCTTATCTCAACCAGCAAAAACCCTTGTTCCTTCCTATTATTGCTTATACTCTCTCTACAACAAAATTAGAAATAAGGGCAAAATAGTTTCTGCTGGGTATTGGGGGGGGGAGAGGGAGGGGGCGGAGTGGGTGGTAAGGGAGGGGGTGGGGGCAGGGGGGAGAAATGAAACCAATCCTTGTATGCACATATGAATAATAAAAGAAAAATGAAAAAAAAAATCAAAGGGAGGAATGGGTTTGATGGTGCAGCAGAGTGGAACGAGCAGATGGCTCCAGAGTGGAATGAGCTTATGAACAGCAGCCACACTCTTCACCTTAGATAACAATCTTACCTAATTTTTGTCATCGTACTACTTTTTATTGTTATTTTGTAATATTTTTTCTGTTATATTTAAATGTTAATGTAACATGTATTTTAATTGTTATATTTAAATATTAAAATTAAGTGATTTTATGTTCATTAAACAAAAAAATTAATAAATCTTATTTAGAGGCTAGAATCTCTTCTAAAGACATTTGGGATAAAAAAATGAACAAAACAAAGATCATTCTCTAGTGGACGTTATATCCTGGTAAGCTTTATAATATTTAGAAGATAAATGCTATAAAATGACTAGGAAGTATTGAAGGACCAAATCATGAAGGGCTCTGAAAATCATTATCCAGCCTTTGGCTTTTTGTTGGTGAAACAGAGCAATTAAAGGGTTTAAGACATGATCTCAGTTAGGGTTTTTTTTTTTTTTTTAATCTCACACTGTACTTTATTTATTTTATAAAGTTAACTGGACAGACAAGGGAAGTTTAATAGCAATGTGACATTTTTAGCAGCACAAAAAAGTGCCATTATATTTAATCATAGCCAACTGGAGATTTGCTTTATCTTAACTATGTAAAGTATGCTTAACATATATTTTTTTCACTTGCAAATTGTATTTCTTTTTTTTTTATTTATTCATATGTGCATACATTGTTTGGGCCATTTCTCCCTCTGCCCCCTCCCCCATTCCCTCCCTATCCCCCCACCTCCCCTCACTTCCAGACAGAACCTGTTCTGCCCTTTTCTCCAGTTTTGTTGAAGAGAAGACATAGCAATAATAAGAAAGACATAGCATCTTTTGCTAATTTGCGATAAGGATAGTTATACAGAGAGATCCTAGCATTGCTACCATGCACAAGTGTATTACAACCTGAATTGATTCATCTCTACCAGACCTCTTCACTACTTCCCAGTCACCTTCCCATATTGACCTCTGTCACTTTAAGGTTACTATATTAGCTCCTCTACAGTGGGGACATCAAACACTTTCAAGTTTTGGGTTTCCTACCTTTCCCCTATTCCTCTTGTATGTGTCCTCCCCTTAGCGTGTGACCCATGTCCAATTTGTCACTGCATTTGTTTTAGATCTATAGTCTGCATAAGAAGGAGAACATATGATTTTTGGCTTTCTGAGCCTGGCTAACTTCACTTAAGATGATGTTCTCCAGTTCCATCCATTTACCTGCGAATGATAAGATTTTCATTCTTCTTCATGGCTGAGTAAAATTCCATTGTGTATAAATACCACATTTTCTTCATCCATTCTTCAGTAGTGGGGCATCTTGGCTGTTCCCATAACTTGGCTATTGTGAATAGTGCTGCAATAAACATGGGTGTGCAGGTGCCTATGGAGTAACCTGAGTTGCATTCCTTTGGGTATATCCCTAGGAGTGGGATTTCTGGATCATATGGCAGATTTATGTTTAGTTTTTTAAGAAGCCTCCATATTGTTTTCCAGAGTGGTTGTACTAGCTTGCACTCCCACCAGCAGTGTATAAGGGTTCCTTTTCCCCCACATCCTTGCCAACATTTGTTGTTGGTGGTGTTTTTGATGATAGCTATTCTAACAGGGGTGAGGTGGAATCTTGGTGTGGTTTTGATTTGCATTTCCTTTATGGCCAGAGATGGTGAACATTTTTCATGTATTTTTTGGCCATTTGAATTTCTTCTTTTGAAAAAGTTCTTTTTAGTTCAGTGCCCATTTCTTTATTGATTCATTGATTTTAGGGGAGTTTAGTTTTTTGTGCTCCCTGTATATTCTGGTTATCAGTCCTTTGTCTGATGTATAGCTGGCAAATATTTTCTCCCACTCTGTGGGTGGTCTCTTCAGTTTAGAGATCATTTCTTTTGTTGTGCAGAAGCTTTTTAATTTCATATAGTCCCATTTGTCCATCCTTTCTCTTAGTTGTTGAGCTGCTGGGGTTCTATTGAGGAAGTTCTTGCCTATACCTATTGCTTCCAGAGTATTAGCTAGGGTTTTTTGTTGTTGTTAGTTTTTTGAGACAGAGTCTTACTATGTTGCCCAGACTGATCTGAAAATCATCATTGCCATTACAACCACTGCGCCCAGCCGAGTTAGGTTTTATAAAACCCTATCTACTATTTTAATTCCTAAAATAGGACTAAATGTTACATTCCTAAACACATTAAGGCAAGTCCTCCAATATTCTACCTTTTTATTTGTTTTTCTTTGTAACACACAATTTAATAATTTTATTCATTGCAGGATGGCAGGGTGACAAGCAAAGATCATGTCCAGTTGCATGACGCATCTTAAGCTGGTATTAGTATACATTTGATAAAAAACAAATGATTCAATATATCTGATATCTACAATGTGCAGGTGTATCTCCAAAAATAATAAATGAGTGGCAAAAATATTTGCCTCTTTAAAGTCTAAGCATCCAAAAATGGTGGTGGTGGTGGTGGTGGTGGTGGGGTGTGTGTGTGTGTGTGTGTGTGTGTGTGTGTGTGTGTGTGGTGATATTGGGTTTCAACTCAGGGTTTTGCACTTGCTAGGCAAGTGCTTTACTGGAGCCATTCCTCCAGTCCTCCAAATATTGCATTGATTGAAGTGTGTCTTCATGTTGTTGCTGGTGATTAAGCAACATAGTATGCATAGTATATCTTCAAATAAATTTCAGCTTCTGCCTCTGTGTGTAGTCCCTGATCCCACTGTATAAGGTTCTTTGGGCATGGTCTTTCTATACAAAACCAAATAGGGTGCAATTCCTTTCCATTTGCTACTGCACCTAGCCTTACTGTAATAGATTTTTCAGATTTTCTATTCTATTGAAGATAATAGATGTTTTTCCTCTTTGTTGCTGCTTTACATAAAGTGTTGGGACATTCCTGTATGAACAGCTTACATTTCTACACATCCCTGAATTCAAGTTAAGAATGTGTGTGGCTGGGGCTGTAGCTGAGTGGTAGAGCTCTTGCCTAACATGCACAAGGCCCTGGGTTTGGCCCCCTGCACTGACAGACACACACACACACACACAACACACACATTGTATCAGGAGACATCCAAGATAGTGAAGCTAGAGACATCTCCCCTAGAAATATCCCAGAAAGGTAAAAAAAAGCTTTCCTTTTTCCCCTTACTAAAGACATTTGCTTATGTTCCAATGAGGAAGATGGGGACATGTCAGCAGGCCTATCAAAATCTCTTTAAATTTTGGCTCCTCCTGTTGTGCAACACACTGAAAGAGAGGCCCTGGCCTCTCTGTGTCACAAGGCCCTCACTGTATCACATGAAGAGAAGCAGCCTGGGAGACTGACCCATAACGCTGCTCTGGCTGCTGCCCCCCCCAGCCCAGTACTGGGGTTTGAACTCAGGGCCTACACCTTGAGCCACTCCACCAGCCCTTTTCGTGTGATGGGTTTTTTCCGAGATGGGGTCTAACTATTTGCCTGGGGCTGGCTTCAAGTCATAATCCTCCCGATCTCTGTGTCTTGAGTAGCTAGGATTACACGTGTAAGCCACTGGCGCCCAGCTCTGGCTGCTATTTTTGAGAAATTGTGTCTCTAACCCAGAGGTTTTGAGCCTTTCTGTGATTATGTCACTTCTGCAAAATCTCTTATTATGTAAGGTAACATTTACAGGTCTCAGGAATTAGGATGTTGACATCTTTGGAAGGCCATTTAGCCTACTGTAGTTAATGCTTTGCTCCCCCCACCCACACACAAAGATTCATCCATTCCACATGATCAATGTGTTTGCCCATCTCAAAGTCCCCATTACAGTTTCCAACCCATTACAGCATCAACTCAAGTCCCAAATTTCATCTTAAGTCTCATCAGCTAAAAAGTCCTAAATCTCACATCTAAATTGATAGAGGTGCAGCTCTGAGTACAATCCATTCTGGGACAAAGCTATCTGTGGACCTGTGAAACTAGAAAGCAACTCCTGGGCTCCAAAACAGTGGCACAACAGGTATAGGGTAAAGCAGAGACATTCTCTGTCAAGAAGGGAGAAAATGAAAGGTTAAAAAAGAAAAAAGTCTCAGGCCTGGTGGAGTGGCTCAAGTGGTAGAGTGCCTGCCTAGCAAGCATGAGGCCCTCAGTTCAAACCTTAGTACTGCAAAAAAGAAAAAAGTCTCTAAGCTGTTACTTTCAAGTCCAATGGGCAAACTCCATCAGGTTTCAAGGTCTGGGAATAACATATCTGTGCCCTCTGTACCTGTGTCCCCACTCTCAGAGCTGTCCTTTCTTATACACACATCTGTCATGATCTGATCAGCTTGTTTCCTGCTGTAGGATTTTGGTAGGCCAACAGCCTTCTTTCATCTCTGTCCCTATAGTCCACCTTAAGCAGTGTTTCTTAATATAACAGACTTAAAAGATTTTTGGGTCAAAAGAATTTACTCCACAGATCTTTACTGAATAATACCATCTCTACTTCTACTGAAATGGGTGAGAGGACCTATGTGTCACACACCTCTTCAGAGAGCCCCCTATATGATGGTTTGGTTTGGTTTTTTGAGACAGGGTCTCCCTCTGTAGTCCTGGCTGGCCTTGAACTCCCAATCCTCTTGCCTCTGTCTTGCAGAGTTGGACCATAATCTTAAGTACACATAAAATACCAGGCAAACAAATAAATGGGGAAGAAAAGAGAGACAATTATCTCTAGGGTTAATTAGAGGCTTACCACAAGGAAATGTAGTCATAGAATGCTATCAGCTCAGTCATGATTAATGTTCACAAGGTCATAATAATTTATCTGCTGATAGATTCATAATGGATTTGAAGCTGTGATAGCACCATATTGGGAGGATAAAGGGTAAGAAAAGATGCCTGGGGGAGGTGTTAATGCTAAAATCTTTTCCACACTAGGAAGTCAAAGAATAATATAGAAACAGCATGCAGCCATGTTATTTAGAAATGTGGAAGTAAATATCAGGAGGAAAAAAATTGTTGAAAGAATTGAAAATGCCTATCTCTGGAATGTGAACTTTGAGTTAAGGAGAGGCTGGACAGGAGAATGTAAAGTTTTGTTACAAAAAAATTCTAATAAAATGTTACAGAACCCTCAATTCCAGGTTTATTAAGTGCTTGTGCACTCAGAGTTCAGGGCTGTCTTTAATGTAAGAGCTGAGGACTTGACGCTCCTTGGAGAATTCTGTTAACCCTGGCTCTCTAAACTGTCTTTCCGATTTTGCACCTAACAGGAAATGGAATTCTAACCTCTTAGAAATGAATTAGCGTTCCTAAATTTACTCAGCTGCAAAATGAAGATAATTACAAACCTAGCTAGGAGGGATGTTGTGAAAAGTAAGGCTTATGGTAGGTTTGGCACATAGTAATAACCCAGTCAACATTAGCCTTTGTGGTTATTATTTCCTGAAAACAAACCCCATTCATCATTGGCCCTTGGAAAAGAGGTCGTCTGTCAAAGTTACAGTGGAGCCAGAAGTCTCTCTTCTGATGACAGAAATCCCCTCACCTATCCTCCAACCTCACTTCTTTGGGACTGCCTCCTCCAGGACTCTGCCACGAGCAATCGTCCTATCCCAGGAGCGGTCTCAAGCTCAGTATTGGAACTAAAAGGGGGACAGAAAGCAAGCAGGTGTGCTGTCGGGGCAAGAGTGGTGCCCATCTCAGCCCCGGGAAACCGTCTTCCTGGTGGGAGAGGAAGTGGGAGGAGTCCAAGAGGCTCCTGGCTGGAGAAGCCAATGTCTCCTGGATGGCGGCTCGGGGACGCACGCCTTGGCCGCGGCCTGGGCTCCCGCTGCTGCGGCTGCTGCTGGCGGCGGGCGCGGCGGGCGCGGCGGGCGCGCGCTGGAGCGGGGAGGGCAGCAGCCCGCACCTGCAGAGCATCTTCCTGGGCCGCTGTGCCGAGTACAGCGCGCTACTGAGCGCCCACAGCGGGTGAGCGCGGCGCGCGGGGCGGGGACGCCACGCAAAGGTGGACAGGGTGCGAGGAAGGGGACACAGGGTCTGCAGATCGGGCGTTGGGAGGATTAGGAAGTCTTCACGTGAGACGTGTATGGCGAAGGGCAAGGGCTCTAAGGGACAGGGACCAGCCTGTGGAGGCTGTGGACCTCTAGGTGGGGCAGGAGTCTACAGGTGAGGATATGTGTGCGTGGAACAGGTAGATACCAGTCTCCAGGTAAGTTTGAATGAAGCCCATCGCCAGCCCCCATATGCTTAGCCAGACCCTCAGAGCTCACCCAGAGTGTGGTCTTTAGCGGAGTTCCTGGAGCCCACACCCTACAGAATTTCAGATAATCGCATATAGGGGGCCTTAAAGTTTCCATCTTTCTTGCCCATGTACTGGAATCGTAGTCCAGAAGCCCCTCCTGGGGTTCCAATATGTCGCATTCTGCCCAATACACCAAAGAGAGAAACAGTGCTGAGGATAGAGAAAGATTATCAGTGCACCTGCTGCGTGCGGGAAGAGGACAGAAGGCATTTCACCCCATCGTCAGTGTACTGACAGGAGCTTCAGATTTATTAATATTTTTAATTTTTATTTTATTCATATGTGCATACAATGTTTGGGTCATTTCTCCCCCCTTCCCCCCTCCCCCTCTCTTACCCCTCGCTACCAGGCAGAAACTATTCTGCCCTTATCTCTAATTTTGTTGTAGAGAGAGTATAAGCAATAATAGGAAGGACCAAGGGTTTTTGCTGGTTGAGATAAGGATAGCTATACAGGGAGTTGACTCGTCTGTACATGTGTGTTAACCTTGAAGATGATTCTTCTCGAACTAACCTTTTCTCTAGTTCCTGGTCCCCCTCTCCTATTGGCCTCAGTTGCTTTTAAGGTATCTGCTTTAGTTTCTCTGCGTTAAGGGCAACAAATGCTAGCTAGTTTTTTAGGTGTCTTACCTATCCTCACCCCTCCCTTGTGTGCTCTCGCTTTTATCATGTGCTCATAGTCCAATCCCCTTGTTGTGTTTGCCCTTGATCTAATGTCCACATATGAGGGAGAACATATGATTTTTGGTCTTTTGGCCAGGCTAACCTCACTCAGAATGATGTTCTCCAATTCCATCCATTTACTAGCGAATGATAACATTTCGTTCTTCTTCATGGCTGCATAAAATTCCATTGTGTATAGATACCACATTTTCTTAATCCATTCGTCAGTGTGGGGCATCTTGGCTGTTTCCATAACTTGGCTATTGTGAATAGTGCCGCAATAAACATGGGTGTGCAGGTGCCTCTGGAGTAACAGTCTTTTGGGTATATCCCCAAGAGTGGTATTGCTGGATCAAATGGTAGATCGATGTCAGCTTTTTAAGTAGCCTCCAAATTTTTTTCCAGAGTGGTTGTACTAGTTCATTCCCACCAACAGTGTAAGAGGGTTCCTTTTTCCCCGCATCCTCGCCAACACCTGTTGTGGTGGTGTTGCTGATGATGGCTATTCTAACAGGGGTGAGGTGGAATCTTAGTGTGGTTTTAATTTGCATTTCCTTTATTGCTAGAGATGGTGAGCATTTTTTCATGTGTTTTTGGCCATTTGAATTTCTTCTTTTGAGAAAGTTCTGTTTAGTTCACTTGCCCATTTCTTTATTGGTTCATTAGTTTTGGGAGAATTTAGTTTTTTAAGTTCCCTGTATATTCTGGTTATCAGTCCTTTGTCTGATGTATAGTTGGCAAATATTTTCTCCCACTCTGTGGGTGTTCTCTTCAGTTTAGAGACCATTTCTTTTGATGAACAGAAGCTTTTTAGTTTTATGAGGTCCCATTTATCTATGCTATCTCTTAGTTGCTGTGCTGCTGGGGTTTCATTGAGAAAGTTCTTACCTATACCTACTAACTCCAGAGTATTTCCTACTCTTTCTGTATCAACTTAGAGTTTGGGTCTGATATTAAGATCCTTGATCCATTTTGAGTTAATCTTGGTATAGGGTGATATACATGGATCTAGTTTCAGTTTTTTGCAGACTGCTAACCAGTTTTCCCAGCAGTTTTTGTTGAAGAGGCTGCTATTTCTCCATCGTATATTTTTAGCTCCTTTGTCAAAGACAAGTTGCTTATAGTTGTGTGGCTTCATATCTGGTCCTCTATTCTGTTCCACTGGTCTTCATGTCTGTTTTTGTGCCAGTACCATGCTGTTTTTATTGTTATTGCTTTGTAATATAGTTTGAAGTCAGGTATTGTGATACCTCCTGCATTGTTCTTTTGACTGAGTATTGCCTTGGCTATTCGTGGCCTCTTGTGTTTCCATATAAATTTACAGTAGATTTTTCAATCTCTTTAATGAATGTCATTGGAATTTTGATGGGAATTGCATTAAACATGTAGATTACTTTTGGGAGTATGACATTTTTACTATGTTGATTCTACCAATCCATGAGCATGGGAGATCTCTCCACTTTCTATAGTCTTCCTCAATCTCTTTCTTCAGAAGTTATAGTTTTCCTTGTAGAGGTCTTTCACATCTTTGTTAGGTTTACACCTAGGTATTTGATTTTTTTGAGGCTATTGTAAATGGAATTGTTTTCATACATTCTTTTTCCGTTTGCTCATTGTTAGTGTATAGAAATGCTAATGATTTTTCTATGTTGATTTTATATCCTGCTACCTTGCTATAGCTATTGATGATGTCTAGAAGCTTCTGAGTAGAGTTTTTTGGGTCTTTAAGGTATAGGATCATGTCGTCTGCAAATAGGGATATTTTGACAGTTTCTTTACCTATTTGTATTCCTTTTATTCCTTCTTCTTGCCTAATTGCTCTGGCTAGGAATTCCAGTACTATGTTGAATAGGAGTGGAGATAGTGGGCATCCTTGTCTGGTTCCTGATTTTAGAGGGAATGGTTTCAGTTTTTTCTCCATTAAGTATAATGCTGGCTGTAGGTTTGTCATATATAGCTTTTATAATGTTGAGGTACTTTCCTTCTATTCCTAGTTTTCTTAGAGCTTTTATCATGAAATGATGTTGGATCTTATCAAAGGCTTTTTCTGCATCTATTGAGATGATCAAGTGGTTTTTGTCTTTGCTTCTGTTAATGTGGTTTATTACGTTTATTGATTTTGTATGTTGAACCACCCCTGCATCCCTGGGATGAAGCCTACTTGGTCGTGGTGAATAATCTTTTTGATGTGTTTGCTGAATTCGGTTTGCCATTATTTTGTTGAGGATTTTTGCATCAATGTTCATTAAGGAGATTGGCCTATAGTTCTCCTTTTTGGAGGTGTCTTTGCCTGGTTTTGGGATAAGTGTAATACTGGCTTCATAAAATGTGTTTGGCAGTTTTCCTTCCCTTTCTATTTCATGGAACAGTTTAAGGAGGGTTGGTATCAGTTCTTCTTTAAAGGTCTGATAGAATTCAGCAGAGAATCCATCAGGTCCTGGACTTTTCTTTTTGGGGAGACTCTTGATTGCTGCTTCAATTTCATTTTGTGTTATAGTCTATTCAGGTGATTAATTTCCTCTTGGTTCAGTTTTGGATGATCATATGTATCTAGAAATCTGTCCATTTCTTTAGATTTTCAAATTTATTTGAATATAGGTTCTCAAAGTAGTCTCTGATGATTTCCTGGACTTCCATGGTGTTTGTTGTTATCTCCCCTTTTGCATTCCTGATTCTACTAATTTGGGTTTTTTCTCTCCTCATTTTAGTCAGGTTTGCCAGGGGTCTATCGATCTTGTTTATTTTTTCAAAGAACCAACTTTTTGTTTCATTAATTCTTTGTATGGTTTTTTTGGTTTCTATTTCATTGATTTCAGCTCTTATTTTTATTATTTCTCTCCTTCTATTTGTTTTGGGATTTGCTTGTTCTTGTTTTTCTAGGAGTTTGAGATGTATCATTAGGTCATTGATTTGGATCTTTCAGTCTTTTTAATATATGCACTCATGGCTATAAACTTTCCTCTCAGACTGCCTTAGCTGTGTCCCATAGGTTCCGGTAGGTTGTGTTTTCATTTTCATTGACTTCCAGGAACTTTTTAATTTCCTCTTTTATTTCATCATGATCCATTTTCATTAAGTAATGAGTTATTTAGTTTCCAGCTGTTTGCATGTTTTTTGTCTTTACTTTTGTTGTTGAGTTCTACTTTTACTGCATTGTGATCAGATAGTATGCGGTATAATTTCTATTTTCTTATATTTGCTGAGGCTTGCTTTGTGCCCTAGGATATGATCTATTTTGGAGAAGGTTCCATGGGCTGCTGAGAAGAATGTATATTGTGTAGAGTTGGATGAAATGTTCTGTAGACATCACTAGGTCCACTTGATCTATTGCATATTTTAGATCTTGGATTTCTTTATTGAGTTTTTTTGTTTGGATGACCTATCTATTGGATAAGATGTTTAAAGTCTTTAGGGAGACTCTGATTGCTGCTTCAATTTCATTTTGTGCTATAGATCTATTCAGGTGATTAATTCCTCTTGGTTCAGTTTTGATGATCATATGTATCTAGAAATCTGTCCATTTCTTTAAGATTTTCAAATTTATTTGAATATAGGTTCTCGAAAGTAGTCTCTGATGATTTCCTGGACTTTATGGTGTTTGTTGTTATCTCCCCTTTTGCATTCCTGATTTACTATTTGGTTTTTTCTCTCCTCATTTTAGTCAGGTTTGCCAGGGTCTGTCATCTTGTTTATTTTTTCAAAGAACCAACTTTTTGTTTCATTAATTCTTTGTATGGTTTTTTTGTTTCTATTTCATTGATTTCAGCTCTTATTTTTATTATTTCTCTCCTATTTGTTTTGGGATTTGCTTGTTCTTGTTTTTCTAGGAAGTTTGAGATGTATCATTAGGTCATTGATTTGGATCTTCAGTCTTTTTAATATGCACTCATGGCTATAAACTTTCCTCCAGGACTGCCTTTGCTGTGTCCCATAGGTTCCGGTAGGTTGTGTTTTCATTTTCATTGACTTCCAGGAACTTTTTAATTTCCTCTTTATTTCATCAATGACCCATTGTTCATTAAGCAATGAGTTATTTCAGTTTCCAGCTGTTTGCATTTTTTTCTTTATTTTGTTGTTGAGTTCTAGTTTATTGCATTGTGATCAGATAGAATGCATGGTATAATTTCTATTTTTTATATTTGCTGAGGCTTGCTTTGTTGCCCTAGGATATGATCTATTTTGGAGAAGGTTCCATGGGCTGCTGAGAAGAATGTATATGTGTAGAAGTTGGATGAAATGTTCTGTAGACATCAACTAGGTCCATTTGATCTATTATATTTTAGATCTGGATTTCTTTATTGATTTTTGTTTGGATGACCTATCTATTGATGATAATGGGGTGTTAAAGTCTCCATGACCACTGTGTTGGAGTTTAATATGCTTTTAGGTCCTTCAGGGTATGTTTGATGAAATTGGGTGTTGACATTGGGTGCGTATAGGTTGATAATTGTTTATTTCCTTTTGGTCTATTTCCCCTTTTATTAGTATGGAATGTCCTTCTTTATCTCTTTGATCAATGTAGGTTTGAAGTCTACTTTGTCAGAGATAAGTATTGCTACTCCTGCTTTTTCGGGGGCCATTGGCTTGGTAATCTTCTTCCAGCCTTTCATCCTAAGCCTATGCTTATTTCTGTCAGTGAGATGGGTCTCCTGTAAGCAACAAATTGTTGGATCTTCCTTTTTAATCCATTCTCAAACGGTGCCTTTTGATGGGTGAATTAAGTCCGTTAACATTAAGCGTTAGTACTGATAGGTATGTGGTGATTCCTGTCATTTAGTTGTCTTAGTTTTTTGAAGGTTTGATTGTGTGTACCTAAGTTGAGGTTACTCTCTACTTTCTTGCTTTTTCTTTTCCTGTAGTTTGGTGCTGCCTGCCCTTTCATGGTTATGTTGGGTTTCACTTTATGTGTGCAGAATCCCTTGAAGAATCTTTTGTAGTGTTGGCTTTGTGGTCACATATTGTTTTAGTTTCTGCTTATCATGGAAGACTTTTATTGCCCCATCTATTTTGAATGACAGTTTTGCTGGGTAGAGTATCCTGGGGTTGAAGTTATTTTCATTCAGTGCCTGGAAGATCTCACCCCAAGCTCTTCTTGCTTTTAATGTTTCTGTTGAGAAGTCTGCTGTGATTTTGATGGGTTTACCTTTGTATGTTATTTGTTTTTTCTCTCTTACAGCCTTCAATATTCTTTCTCGGGTCTCTGTACTTGTTGTTTTAATGATGATATGTTGTGGAGTAGTTCTATTTTGCTCTGGTCTGTTTGGTGTTCTGGAGGCCTCTTGCGTCTGTATGGGCATAGATTTCTCTAGTTTTGGGAAATTTTCTGTTATTATTTTGTTGAATATATTACAGATTCCCCTTGCTTGCACCTCTTCTTCTTCTTCGATGCCCATGATTCTCAAGTTTGGTCTTTTGATGGAGTCAGTGAGTTCTTGCATTTTCTTTTCACAGGTCTTGAGTTGTTTAACTAATAGTTCTTCGGTTTTTCCTTTAATTATCATTTCATCTTCGAGTTTTGAGATTCTATCTTTTGCTTGTTCTGTTCTGCTGGACTGGCCTTCCATTTTCTTTTGCATTTCTCTTTCATTCTTTTTTCTGAGGTTTTCCATATCCTGAGTTGTTTCCTCTTTAATGTTGTCTATTTTTGTCCTGAGTTCATTTATCTCTTTATTAATCGTGTTCTTTGTTTCACTTTGGTGTTTATATAGTGCTTCTGTGGTTTCTTTTATTTCTTCTTGTGCTTTCTCAAATTCTCTATTTTTGTTGTCTTGGAATTTCTTGAGTGTCTCCTGAACATTTTGGTTGACCCTATCCAGTATCATCTCTATAAAATTCTCATTGATTACTTGGAGAATTTCTTCTTTCAAATTATTCTTGTGTGCTTCATTGGGTTCTTTGCCATAGTTTATCTTTGTTTTGTTTGAGTTTGGATCTGAGTATCTGTTTTCTTCATTTCCCTCTGGTTCCTGTACTAACTTTTTGCTGTGGGGAAACTGGTTTCCCTGTTTTTTCTGTCTTCCCATCATTGCCCTTGGTATTGTTACTGTCACTGTACTGTGTGCAATTAAGTATTTTCTAGCTTGTAATAATAACAATGGTGATATTGAGAATGGAAGGGTAAGAGGCAATGAAAAGCAAAGAAGGTAAAGAGAAAGGGAAAAACAAATAAACAAATAAGCAAAACAAACAAACAAACAAAACAGTGTCAAAGATATAAACAGGGAGAGATAGTATACTAATCAACAGTAAGCTAAACAGGCATTAGAGAGACAGAGAGAAGATTAAAGAAAAAAAATCTCCAGTTCAAAGGCAATAAAGTTTCAGTATTAATAATTTTGGTGTTTGTCCCTCAGCCTCCAATTGGAGATGGTGTCTCAGAAGTAGTTCTGTCGTCTCATCAAAGGGGAAGAACACCCAAAAAAACCCCAAAAAACCCAAAAGACCACAAAGCATCCCAAGTTCAAATGTAATACAATTTCAGTAAGTTTTTCAGCATGTAGTTATAGTTCAGTTGTTTTCTCATCAAAGGAAGAGAAGAAAAAAAGAGTCTGGAGACAGTTCTGTGAATGGCTATCTGCGGCTGTGGCTTATCTGCCCGCTTCTGTCAGCCTGCTGTTCCTGCAGGCTTTATTTATGTAGATCTCAGGAGTGAGCTTAGCACTCACCTGGCCCCGCAGGCCTTGTTTACTTAGAGTTCTCCTGGGCACGACAGTCACTGTTACAAGCTTTTCCCTCTCCAAGCACACTGGGGGAGGTGACACTGCACCTGCCTTCTCCAGCCGGCTTGTTGTGAGGGATTGCCCCTCTCCCCCCTTCGGTGCTCAGGGCGCCCCACCCTCTTTGCTACGTGTCTTTTTTGTTGTTGTTGTTTATTATTCAGTTTGGGTTTTTTTCTCTTTTTTCCCTGGGTGGGGGTCAGTCTATCCAGGGGGCTATGCTGATCTGGCCCAGGGTTGTCTGTGGGAGTACCATGTGCCGCTTAGCTCACCTAGTGGTCTGCGTCTTCCCAAGTGGCCTGGGAGCTGGCGTCTGGCAGCGCGGGAGCCCTCCTGGTTTCTCTGTTTAATGTGAAGTGGGGATGCTATGCGCGGGCTGGGGGTGTGGAGGAGTCAGAATTTTGCCTCTTCTCGGTGGTTTTTCCTGTAAGGTGTATCTCCAGCATCTCTCCAAGATTTTATTTTAGGAAGCACGCTTTCTGCTTCCTACCTCCAGTTGCCATCTTGGAATCTCCCAGCTTCAGATTTAAATAGAGGAAGGACTGAGGTGCGGGAGAGGGGTTTGCATAATTAAACAGTCCTAGGTAAATTGTGGCCTGGTTTATCAATATCTCAGTTGTGGGTCTGTCAGGGGTTGAGAGTTGTTACTGTTATCACTGTCATCACTTGAGGGGAGCAGTCTGGTCCCAGACATAATTCCCCATCGTTATAGATAATCGTCCTCATTTGGGGACTAATCTATCCTTAGAGGCTGTGCCGTTCCTTGTTGTTGATCAGTTCTGCCTTTTCTGGATCCTGAGAGGATTTCAGGAGAGAGACTCAAAGCAAAGGACACTGATGCAGAATGGAAGCTGAGATGCTAAGCTTTTATCCCATTTTCATTAATTTGTGGGTCAGTGAAGAGTCAGTACTTTTTAGCAAAAATAGTTTCTAAGTATCCCTTGTACCCACACTGTGTTCTTACTTTCCTTCTTTAGATCCATTTGTTTCCTGTTTTCATAATAATCCCTTTCTTGTGCCTATTGTTTTTATTGTGATGCACTTCAGGTAAAAAAAGAACAGAGAATAACACAAAAAGCACTATGTTACCCATCAGCCAGCATGGGAAAGAAAAAGTGACCAAAGCAGTAGGAAGTGTTTTCTGAAAGGTGGCCTGGACCTCAACAGTAGAGGCTGCCACTGGAGGCATACTCTCTGCCTCACCAGGAAAAAGTCATTCTCAAAACCTAGCACTCACTCCTGGTTTCACAAGTCTTGCCTGCTGGCCTGTCCTCACCCAGATGACAGCTCCCAGGATCAGGACAATGGGCCACTCTCCTTTTTAAACAAAGAGGCAAAGGCTGGGGATGTACTTCAGTGTAGAGGACTTGACTTGCATTTTGATGCTCTGGGTTCCATTCCCAGCACTGCACAACATAACACAACACAAAACACACACACACACACACACACACACACACACACAGGGGTGGAGGGGGAAGAAAGAGAATAAACAGGCACTTAAAACCCAGAAGTTATGTGGTTTATTGAACTTGAACTTATCACTTTGTAGCTTGTGGCCTTTTCTGCTTGTTTTGTTAGCCTAGGGCAAGGCTGTAGTATTTAGCTGTAAGAAATTTGGCAATACCTTCTGAGAAACACTTCCAATGTCAGATTTTGAAATCCATTGCTTGAACCCTATCAGCTTGTTCTCCTTTTGTTTATATAGTTCTGCAGCAATGGAAGATCATTGATCATGATGTGTTTTGGGTTTTGCTTTTTTCTTTGACTTGTACTTTTGCACAGGGACAAGAACTGCACAGCCATCTGGGAAGCCTTTAAGGTGGTGCTGGACAAGGATCCTTGCTCTGTGCTTCCCTCGGACTATGACCTTTTTATTAACCTCTCCAGGCACTCCATTCCCAGAGACAAGGTAACTATAGCTATCTCAGATACGTCATCACTCTTTCTCTATGGAGGCAGATAGTGCCAGGTCAGGTGTGAGGTCAGCTGCCCCCAACATCATACAGCGTCACTGAGACATCAGGTCAGTTCAGGAATCTCTACAAAGATTTCAGGACATTGCCAGACATTTCACACTGGGCCTCTCCAAATCTGGATAATTAGGGATAATTTCTATCCTAACTGGTCCCATAGCCTGGACCATGAGTAATTCAGAAAACCCTCCGTGTCAGCACTTTCCAGTGGACACATCTCTCCTTTAAATGTTCAGTACCAGTTTCTTTAAGGAAACCACATGTCTATATTTTACCTGCACTCTTAAGTTCTGATAAAATGAAAATAAATAAGGTAGAGGTAGGAGGATTGCAGTTTGAGATCAGCCCAGGAAAAGTTAGTGAGAGCCCCTATCTGAAAAAAAAAAAAAGAGAGAGTAAAGTAGAAAAAAATGGGAGCATGTCTTAAGTGGTAGAATACTTGCCTAAGAAGCCTGAGGACCTGAATTTAATCCCAAGAATAGAAACAAATGAGAAAATCTACATAAAATGGTTGCTGAGAACAGTATCTTGAGTTTAAAAACAGGCGGAGTTTTCATTTCTCTGACATATCATTAACTTGATTTTTTTCCATTGTATATTATTTGCAAAGGCAGATAAATGGAAATGTGAGGTTCAAAGACCCAAACACGATTTTTAAGTATATGTTGCATTTTGAACCTTGCTGCCTCCCTGTTGGTAAAGGGGGAAACATAATTTTTGTTCTCCTCTCTAGATTTGGTGGACTAGTTGATTGACTCAATAAATGTTTACTTGGCTACTTCCGCAAGCCAGGCATCGTGTTCAGGGTTAAGGATGCAACAATGGGAAACAGCTCCTGGAGACCTTCCAGTCTAGAGACTGATTGGACTTCTGAGGGTCAGATGAGGGGATATTCTTATTTGTGATGGTGTTATATGAAAACACTGTTTGTACTGGGGACTATCATGTGTACTGTAAGAGTGATGTGTTTTTGAGGCACTTTACTGTCTAGGAAGTGCTTTCTGTGACTTAACATCCTCCAAATCTTAGCTACAATACAAAAGGAAGGAGTCATGCTCCCCATTTTCCAGATGTAGAAACCAAGAATGGTGGCATGCCTTGGTCAAGATCACACGTCAAGCGTACAACAGAGCTGGGCTCAGACCCAGGTCCCTTGATCTTTTTTAATGCAAGGGTCTTACCCCATGTGCATATATTTTGTACTACCTGCAAAATATTGTATTAACATTTGCATGAGAGCTTTGGAATAACTGGAGAGATGGTAACACTCTCCAAACTGGTAAATAAAGGCAAAGAAAAGGAAACTTCATTCAGTCCGCAAGGCAGAGTTACATGAGAGATGTGTTGCTTTGACTTGTCTTGATGACATTGTGCCTGAGTGAAATTTAATTTTTGCTTTTTTTCCTTAGTCCCTGTTCTGGGAAAATAACCACCTTCTTGTCACTAGCTATTCAGAGAATTCCCGTCACCTTATGCCCCTGTGTGACGTTCTGTATGGCAGGGTTGGAGATTTCTTGAGTTGGTGCCGACAGAAAAACACCTCTGGTAAGACTTCTGCACATGTATGAGCTTCTCTTTGCTGTGCACTTCCCATTTCTGCTGCATTCTCTCATATGCGTCCATCTCCTTTGATCTCCCACGTCCTCTGAGGTAGGTGACAACGATAATAATGGACAAAAACAACAATAGCTAGAGTGCACTTATTCTTTTCTCCTTAATCCCTGCAACATCCCCGTGGAATGCTACCATAATCCTTACTTTGATTTCGATGGTACTGGGGTTTGAACTCAGGGCTTTGTGTTTGCTAGGCAGATGCTATACCACTTAAGCCATCCCACCAGCACATAATCCTTATTTTGACAAATGAGGAAACTGAGGCACAGCAAAGTTTAGGAGGTACATAAAAGTTAAAGAAGCTTAGGCATGTATGTCTAATTAGCTGCAGAGTTCTACAGTCCGACTCCAGAGTCTTAGCTCCCAATTCAAACTACTCTGCTTACTATCCTCATTTTTCAGATGGGGAAACTGACGCTCAGGTAGGGTAACCAACTTGTGCACATTGTACAGAGCACGGGCTAAATGTGGAGCTAGAAAATATTCTGAATTAAGGCTTCCATAGTATAATCTTTGAAATGCAATGTGTTTGTCCACTCTTCCCTTAGAACTTGATTACCAATCCTGCCCTACATCAGAAGACTGTGAAAACAATCCTGTGGATTCCTTCTGGAGAAGAGCATCCATTCAGGTAATCCTGTGTTAGATATCTCAGGGGCTGAACATATGTGACCCATGTGCACGGAACAGAGGAGTTCACAAAGTGAGACCCCAGGCCATTATTTAATTTCCATGAGCCTCGCTTTCCCATTTCACAACATCCTATTTACTCTCTTTGCTCCAAAAGGTTGTGAGGATTTAAGGAGTTAAATCCTTATTGCAGTGCCTGGCACAGAGAACACATTCAGTTAATGTTAGCTCTAGCTAGAGTATTGCATAGCTATCATTATTTCTGTTACACCATGGGTGTATTTGGTATTTCAAGTCAATGTGATTTTTTTGTTGCTGTGTAAAATGCAGGTAATCTTCATTTTATGGAGACATTTTATGTGGGATCAGAAATACCCACAAACCAATACTAATGGGGGAGGACGTGATAGGAGACTGTAACGATCATAACAATAATACAGGGGACATATCAGCATTATATGGGAAGGGACCATATGTTGCACCTAGTGGATCTGCTAGGCTTCACGTGTGTGCTCCAAACCACCGTTTCTACATTCTCCAGTTTAAAAACAGAAAACTAATGACGTGCCACAAATTTTGACCTCTTAGAACTCAGGGTAGCAAAGCATGAGAAGCGCAGTCTAGGATAGGGATCAGGAGAGGGCTTGGAACTTACCAGATAAATATTTAATAAATACTAGGTTATCATCATTATCACTAGTCGCAGTGCTGGGATCAAACACAGAGACTTATACATGCCAGGCAAGTGTTATACTACTGAGCTATACCCCAGCCCAGATATTAAGTTATTATTTTAAATGTTTTCATCTTTATGGCAGTCCTATGAGGTGTTTTTATAGGAAGGGTAAATGCAATCCAGAGAGGTCAAGCAACTTTACTAGGGTTACAGAGGCAGTAAATGGGGGATGCAAGATTTGAAAACAGACAGTCTGACTGCAGATACTCATATACTACATTGTCTATTATCATTGTATTTGTTTGCATTTTCAAATTATTTTTCCTTATCGTCAATGTGGATGGAGAATGAAAACTCACAGAAAATATAAGTGAGACTCATCCATTTTCCTATCTCTCAGTGTAACCCCTTCAACATAGAGGTTATCAGACCTTGGCATTTGAGGATTTAACGTAGATTGTTAGCACCATAAGGAAGCAATCCGAGACACGGATGACATGGAGCATATTGTCATTTTGGTGCAGCTGGTATTGACCATCACTTTGCTAGGGGGTAAACCCAGCCCTGTATAGCTCAGTAGCACAATTCACCCTGCCTTACCTTATTCTAGCATAGACATTTTACGAGGGAAATTGTATGCTCCAGTAGTAATATGACCTGGAGATTTGGGGGGTTCTCTGAATCTAATTCTTCTTTGGGAACTCCAGATTTCTGCTTGCCTATTTATTTATTTTTTTAATTTATTTAACAGTGCTGAGAATTGAACCCTGGGCCTGTGTATGCTAGGTAAACATTCTAACCATTGAGCTACATGTTTAGCCTTGCTCATTTATTTTTAACATAGCGAGCTCCTGCTCTGTCCACCTAAACTTGCAGTTTTTTATTCGTTTACTCACATGTGCATACATCATTTGGGTCATTTCTCCCCCTACTCCCCCACCCCCCCAACCCCCCTCGCTTCCAGGCCGAATCTGTTCTGCCCTTATCTCTAATTTTGTTGAAGAAAAGACATAAGCAATAATAAGAAAGACAAAGCATTTTTGCTAGTTGAGATAAGGATAGGTATACAGAAAATTCCTAGCATTGCTTCCATGTACAAATGTGTTACAACCCAAGTTGATTCATCTCTAACTGATCTTTACACTGGCTCCTGATCCCCTTCTCATGTTGACCTCTGCTGCTTTAAGGTTTCTGTATAAGTTCCTCTGCAGTGAGGACATCAAATACTATCATGTTTTTGGTTTCTTATCTATCCCCATACCTCCCATGTGTGCTCTCCCCTTATCATGTGACCCAAGTTTGACCACATTGCTGTATTTGCCCTAGATCTAAAGTCTGCATATGAGGGAGACCATACGATTTTTGGTTTTCTGAGCCTGGCTAACCTCGCTCAGGATAATGTTCTCCAGTTCCATCCATTTACTTGCAAATGATAAGATTTCATTCATCTTCATGGCTGAGTAAAATTCCATTGTGTAAAAATACCACATTTTCTTAATCCATTCATCAGTAGTGGGACATCTTGGCTGTTTCCGTAATTTGGCTATTGTGAATAGTGCTTGCATTTTGTTTTGAATGTGTACACTTCCTATGCTATTGCAGATGCTTTGTGAATTTTTGCTAATGGCTCATTAATATTTCAGACACTTAACTGCCATGCTGTATTCAAGGTTAAGTACACAGCATTCCCCTTGGGGTTCAATGGTTTAAATGGGTTACCATATTTTGGTATTACAAGCATTGTCACACCCACACACCTCTGTGCAAAATGCTTGCAGTGGTTCTTTGTGCTGCTGACTAAATATTTCTGGCTTGTCTTTTGCACATGTGGTTTGCATTCCCCTGCTTCTTGAAATTATTTACATATGATTTACATGGGCCAACGACGTGGGAGTGAGAGTGGTGTGTGGACTTGTGAGCCAAAGCCTTTAAGAACTGGTCTGTGATTTGTCATCTTCCCTCTTCCTTCCTGACAATCAGCAGCTTTGCTGATGGGCAGACTTCCTCAGCTTAGGTCCCCAATGAGAACACACACAATCATCAAAAAACCCACAGGGCTTGGTAAACTTGTAGGGTGAGCATACGTTGTTTGGAGCTACTGCAATTTTGAAGCTCTATATGGCAGCTTAAGCTACTTTATTCCAGCTAATAGGATGCTGTGCATTTCATATCATCTTCTTAGTGTACGATGCCAGACATGGAATTATTGAGTCTGTGAATTTTTGACATTTGAAAGCAATTTGCTTCCCCAAATAAACCAGTTTGCACCCCTACTAGCCTTGTGAAATACCAGATTTTCCCATATTGAGAATTGTCATTTTTTTAAAAACTCATTTCATAACAGGAAAATGACATGTCTTAGTTTGCTGAAAATGCTTGTTCCTTCTTGCAGTATTCAAGAGATAGTTCTGGGGTGATTTATGTCATGCTGAATGGTTCTGAACCAACAGGAGCCTATCCCGTCAAAGGGTAAGAACTCCAGCACCAACAAATACAACAGGTGATACCAAGTGGCTGGGCAGAATTGTCCTAATTCCCAATCTAATGCTTGCTTTTGTAAATGCAGGTAAAGCAAGACAATTGAATGACCTGGTCATTAGAGCCTTGTCTAAATAGTTAAACCATTAGTAGCTGATGAATGCATGAATAAGTAACCTAAAAATAAAAGCTAAAACCCCACCTAAAAACTTTTTTAAAAAAGTAATATGTAAATCAACTGATAATTAAAATGGAAAAAAATGTCATAATACTTTAGGATGCACTGACTACAAAAAAAAATGTCCTTCTCATCTCAGATTTTTTGCAGACTTTGAAATTCCATACTTGCAGAAGGACAAAATTACACGAATTGAAATCTGGGTCATGCATGAAATCGGGGGACCTAATGTGTAAGTGATGGCATCACTGATGATGGCAAATGTTCAAACATGCTTTTCTTGGACATGATATGACCAGGTCCATTTTATGTTTTCAGTTTGGGGGAATGTCAGTCCTCTTTGGTTCTAATGTGGGTATAGAGAAAGACAGGTTTGATTTTCCAGAAATACCACTAGCTAATCCTAAACCCAGAGAGAAAACCTCTTTCATCCAGTGTGTTCTCTGCCATGGCACATGGTGTTCCTTTCTGAGTAATCTGGGAGCTTTGGATAGGTGAGTTCTGTCAGCTTTTGTGAAAGTCAAACCAGTTTCCTTCTCTAGTCATTTGAGGCCCCACAGCTCTTGCCAGGGTTTTCAGAATCAGCCCAGGGACAATGTGATTAAGACTTTATTCTCAGAGAACAATCTGTTCCATGACTGGGTGTCAGAAAACTGGGCAACAAAACTCTTAACACCCATGTTTTCTGGGAGCCTAGTCTAGTTAATTTACAAACACGAGTTTGTACTTGTGTTTCTCACCAATGAAGGGCAGTTTTGGCACAAACTCAAGTTTAAAAAGTTGAATCCATTTGGTTCAAAAACAGTGAGTCCAGATCTACTGAAACCTGAGCAGCCTTGCAGGAGCTTCAGAGGCAAGCTACAGTCTTGTTCTTCAGAGCATGATGATACATGGAGGAGAGTATTGCCAAACTCAAGAAGTGGGTTTCATGAGAATGTGAGCGTTCCAAGAGAATGTCTTGGAATGCATGTCTAAGAGAACCTCAGCAAATTCTCTATTTCCATACTCTAGGACCCTCTAAAACTCCCCAGATAATGGGTGTTATAATTCACTGTCTTGGGAAACAGATTGCAATAAATTTACAAACTACTTACTACATAATATATTATATATTATAGTAAATTTACAAACCATAAATTACATAAGTTATACTAAGATCCATTTCCCTTCCCAGAAGACAAATCATACTTACTGTTGCATTTGTTATGAGAAGGTGCTTTTTGTCTGGAAGTTACTAGTTTTAATTTATCTATTACAGGAATTTGTCCTTTGAACCTACCAATAGTGAAATCAGGACATTGCAATTCAGTATCATCTCAGCTCATTTCTGTTGCAGGAGAGGTTCCAAAAGGAGTCAGAACCTCTCATTGTAACGTTTAAGTCACAGGGTAGAGTTGTTTGCAGGTCATGAGCTAACAAATGGGGGGCTTAGACTGCTCAGATTTTAGATAAAACACATAAGGACTATAGCTAATAAAATTGTATTAGAAATTTTGTTAAGTAGATTGTAGTCAGTCTTGTCATAAGAAAGTAACTTATGACTTTCTGTGAGATGACATGTCTTCTGTTTTCAGTAGGGTAACCATTTTACTATGTATATGTATATTCTAATCAACCCAGGTCTTCAAAAGAGGGAATTGATTATATGAGTTATGGTCTATTTATGTAAAGGGAGACCATGGTGGTGGCATCTTGTGGCAGAGGCTACTTATCTCACTGCAGACAGGAAAGAGAGAGAGAGAGAGAGACAGAGAGAGAGAGAGAGAGAGAGAATGAGAGAGAGAGAGGGAAGGACGAGGGGAAGGAAAGAGATGGAAGTCTGGGACAAAATACAACTCCCCAGGGCATACCCCCAGGGACCTACTTCCTCTAGCTAGGTCCCACTTCTAAAATTTTCAGAAACTCCTAAAATAGTGCCACCAGGTACAGACTAAGCCTTTTGGGAGAGTGCTTCATCTACAAACCATAACATCTAGAATAAAGTTTAATTTATAAATTAGACCCAGTAAGCAATTAGCAATAATAACAAATAACAAAATAAAACAATAATAAATAATATACTATAATAAACTTATATGAATGTAATCTCTTTTAAAATATCTTATTATATTGTGGTCATGCTTATATGATGAGATAAAATGAAGAGAATGAGTAAGTAGTTTCACTCATTTTTATGGCTGTAACTTTGGAGTTTGAGATGTGTCAGCAAACCTAGCATGCATTTCTTTTTCCTACACAATTTCATGGATAGTAGGTTTGCTTTTACTATAGATCCTAGCAACCTTAGCATATGACATTTTTTCTTTCCTTGAAGAAAGTACTTCACAACTTCCCTTTGTTATATCCAAAACTTCCCACCTCACTCTTCTTGTGCTTCAGGGCCATTATTAAGTAAAATAAGGATTGCTTGAACACAAGCACTGTGATTCCATTACAGTTCATCTGATAGCCAAGATGGCTACTAAATGACCAATGGATAGATAGCATATAGAGCAGACACAATGGACAAATGGATGACTCAAGTCCTGTGTGAGATGGAGAGGGCGAGCAAGAGATTTCATCGTGCTACTCACAATGGTGTGCAATTTAAAATGTATGAATCATTTGTTTCTGGAATTTTCCACTTAGTAATTTTCAGCTGAGATTGACCATGGGTAACTGAAACCATGGCAAACACAACCTTGGATAAGTGTACATGAAAATGTTTGTAACAGATATCTCTAGGCATGTGAGATTTGGAGTGATTTTTTTTCATTTATTTGCATTTTCTGTCATTTTAAAATTTGTATGTTTTTGTTGTTACTTAAACCTTGACATTAACAAACTGTAGCTTGAACAGGTTTCACTGTTAACATGTTCTGTCTCCTGGGCACATCACAGATGTGTGTCACCTGGCAGGGTTATGAATGATAACCTGTGAAGACAGCAGAGCACAGACCATCCCTGGCCCTCCCACCTTCAGATCCCATGTTGGGTCTTCAGAGATCCTTTAACTGATTCTGCAGGTTTACTAGAAGTAGTACTTTTTGGACCAGAGACTTTCCCATGTTCTATCTAAGAGAAGAAAATCCAGGAACACATAGTCAAAAGAATTTTAGTTATCTTAGAACAGATTCCTCTTTATCCTCCTCTTTTTATTTATTTTTAAAATATGTGTTTTCATGTTTTAGGGAATCCTGTGGGGAGGGCAGTGTGAAAATCCTGGAAGACAGACTGAAGTCTATGGGGTTCCAGTACAGCTGTATTAATGATCACCTGTAAGTGGTACTACCTATAACCAGGGTGCACCAAGGTGCAGTGGTGACTTTGGAGAGGGTGGACTTTAAAACTTTAAAATTGTTTTGCTTGTGTCAGTTCTAAAGGACACAGAATTGTGTCTTCTGGGTTGTCTCTGAATAAGGGTGTAGGAAGAATCTTTTGACCAGGGTTCAACCTGGGTCCCACCCTCTTCTCATAATTCATTTTAATGACAGTTAAAGGACATTCAAGCAGAACTTTATCATTTGCCCACACCCAGTTTCCTCCTCCCCTTACTTTCTGTGTGGTAACAGAAGACCATGGCCTGTGGCGCCTGTATCTTTGGATTCTATGAAATATTATCCATGAAAAGTGCTGAGGTAGGAGTTTGTTTGAGCTATTTACAGACTGGTATATCTTGACCATAGACCAGTAGGAAAATAAGAGTAGCTACCATTTAGTGAGCGCTCCATGGCCGGGCACTTTATGTACTTATACTCAGGTATCATTTGAGGGCCTTCCTGCTTCATGGACATTGAGAAAAGCTTGGCTGAAACCCTGGGGTAGTTGTAAGTCTTCCCCTGGACTTAGAATTCCTGCCTCTGCTCCTCTCTGCCTCAGTTCCTAAGTGTATAGGCCTGCTGGTATTTCAGGGGCTCAAGTCCAACATTACAAGGATTTAGTGGCATTCTTGAACACTTGTGGGTGTGTCAAGGTAGAAATGACATCAGTTGTCATTTCTAGCTGCCGTCTAAAGCTATATAATTCGCCCAGCCAAGCAAAGTCCTCTGGAAATGTGGATCACTCCCTCCCACTCCACTTCCTCAAAGAAGGAACCCCTGAAGTGTTGTTCTCTGTGCCATTTTAGTCATATGTTATCGCTAAGGCTCACAGGAAACTCAAAGGTTAGATGTTGTTTATCATTCCTTTTAAAAATAAAACAAAGCAAATTCCCTTTTCTAGAAATCTAAATTATGTACAGAAAAATGCACAAACCTAAGTATACAGTTGGAGGAGTGTTCACAAGGTCACCTTGTAGCCCGTACTCAGATGAAGCAGAGCATAACCAGCTCCCAGGGTCTCCCCCAACCTCCCTTTTTGGTCACCTCTCTACTCACAGTAACCATTCTCTAGATTTGTAATGTCATTGGTTTGTTTTGTCTCTCTTAAGGTTTCCTAAATATTTCCTTTGGATAGATGAATCAGAGAAGTTGAACACATGGCCTAAGCTCACAGGGACAGAGCTGAGTCTGGATCTAGCTTTGTGTGGTCTTGAAGCAAGCGCTTTCCTTCTTTTTACCAAGCTCCTCCTTCCTGAATCAAAGCACTGGATTTTAGTAAAAAAAATTTTTAAAAACTCATTTTGACTCTAAAAAAACCAACTCGATGATGAAGAAAATTGTGGCTAAATGTCTGCATTATAACCACTTTGCTCTGCTTAGAAACTCCCCCAGGAGGCTGACTTAAGAAGTCAGCAGGCCAAGTTGTGGCAGCCAGGCTAGAGCCCAAGGTCTCCTTCCACCTCAGACCTCCAGCCGTCCTGCATCTCAACTTGCATTCGCTCTTCTCTTCCAAGGCTGATTCAGCAACCCCTGGTTCTCATTTTTGACCCATAGGCTGAAAAGGTGGGGGTATTGTATTGGTAATAGAGAACAGAGCATATAGTAAAAGGCAAAGTGACAATGGCTGACAAACCAAACTCCAACCCACATATAAGCAAGAATCTCTGCCCCTCAGCATTCAGGTGGCATTACTTTCTATCTTGTGTTATTTGAGATGTTGCCAGATTCAGATCAGTAAGTCCAGGGGCCAGAGTGTTCTTAGTCTCATCAGAGAAAGAATTCAAGGACAGACACAGAAAAGACTTAAGCAGGAGCAGGTTCATTAATACAATGCAAAGTGAAAGCAAAGCCAAACTGTGCTCTCCAGATGAGACCGTGGACAGGCTCAAGAAGGAGCACTACGCTGGTAGTCCTAAGAACTCGAGCTTTTAGTGGGGTCTGTGGACATGGGAGTGGTCAGCCCTGGAAAACTGGGTTATTGTGTCATTAACTACCAAAGATAGTTTATGCATCATCAACTCCTTCGATATGTAGGGTGGGGAGTTCTTGGTTTTGAATGGTCAAACCAGATTTGTCATTTTCTATGAGCTATGGGCTCTATAGGTCAACAAGTGCCATATGTGGGTGTTATATGTCACAAGTCATTCCATTAATGTCGGCAGTACAGGACATGATTCCATGTCAACATTTCAGCCATCAGTTAGGTGTCCTAACTCCTTCCGTAGCCCCTAACTTAACTCAGAAAATTCTCTCCAAGACTCTTGCTAATTTTGGTGAGGCCTTTTCATAGTCTCCCTTATCTCCTGGTTGGTTTCTGCTAACTGTATTGAACCAAACTCAGTGAAACTCAGCCTTTTGGGGGCATAAAACAATAACAACTACTCTCATAAAAATATGTGCCTACACTGCACCTACAGTCCCAGCTACTCAGGAGGCTGAGGCAGGAAGGTGCTTGAGCTTGGGAGTTTAAGACCAGACTGAGCAACACAGTGAGGCTCCCATCTCAAAACCCACCAGCAGCATATATGTATGTAGAGTAGACTTTACTGAAATGTAGGTAAGTAAGTCCAAGAGGGAGCACGTAGTATGCCATTGAATGGTACTGTAACGTCTCCATTCTGAATTCTCTCCAGTCATCCTACCATAGAAATTTTGTCTTGGCTTGCCTCTTATCTCATGGCCTGTGTGTCTTTGCCACCTATTCCTGTCTCCATTGTTGCTTTTCCTTCCCTCCTGGCTGCCCTGGAACTTTGTACCTTCCTCCTTGATTGTGCAGAGCCATGGAGCTTTCTTTGCTGAAGCCTGAGCACTGGCCATCATCCATATATATATTTCAGGTCCAAACTTCCACCTCTCAAGAAGTTTTTCCAAAAAAACGTCATATGTGCATGGAAGAGGTTATAAGTTCCAGGCTCTGGATTCAGCCTGTAAGGTTCAAGTTCAGCTGTCTAACTCACTACTATGAGAATTTGGGATGGTCACTGTGGTCAGCTTTCTCTGTTGTAAGAAATGAAAATAGTACCAACTTTATTTGCCTATTGACATGATCTATATAAAATATATAATCAAATTTCTTGGTGTATAGTAAGTGCTGAATAAACACTAGTTAATATTTTAAAAAGGAATAGTTTGCATGTTCCAGAGACATTCTATGTCCAGGACTGTTCAAACATATTATAAATGTTTGATTGGACAGATGTTATTTAAACAATCTCTTTGAATATTATTTTCTTTCTGTAGACCAGTGAAGCTTTTAAAGTGCGTGGACCACAGCACTCACCCTGACTGTGCCTTAAATTCGTAAGTGAATGTCTTAACTCAAATCTTTCTCTCCTAAGATCCTGAGTATTACAGAACACTAGTGCTTATGATATGATTTTCTACCAGCCCTCCAAAGTGGCAGCTGCAGAGTCAGTTTAGCTCTTCTGCCCTGAATCCCTACTGTCATGAGCCAGGAGGTGTGTGCTGGAGCCTAGACATCTTCGAGCTGAACCAAACTCTTCCAAGGAATTGAGACGCAGCGGTGGCCTGATGGCCACCATCTGCTCCAGCAGCAACTTGTTTTATTAGAAATTCTAGGAGAAAGGCGAAAGAGGACCTTTTAACATTTATTCCTTAATGCTAATTTGAATTCTTATTCCACTTTTTGGAAAGTTAATATATATGCATGAGAAGATTTAAAACTATAAAAGGGTCAAGGAAGTGAACAAACTTTCTTCCTCTATTCCTGAGCCACTCAGATTCCCTGACCGATGGTGACCACTGTTTCTAGTTTCTTGTGTATCCTTCTAGAGTATTGTGTGGCTGTGAGAGTGTGTGTGTGTGTGTGTGTGTGTGTGTGTGTGTGTGTGTGTGAGAGAGAGAGAGAGAGAGAGAGAGAGAGAGAGAGAGAGAGAGAGAGTTGCCTTATACTAGTCATAACAAATGATAATATATATACATAGAATTCTGGACCTTTCTTTTCACTTGGCAGTCTTAGCTATGTTTTAAAAGATAAATTGTATTGTATATTTTGTGGTTTACAGCATGATGTTGTGGGATACATATAGATACTAAAATAGCTGCAATAATTGGACAAATTAACATATCTGTCATCTCACATAGTTACTTTTTGTGACAAGAGCAGCTAAAATCTACTTATTTAACAAAATCTCCAATATAATACATATTAACATTGTACATTGGACCTGTAAACTTGTTCATCCTATATATTTGCTTTTTTGTATCCTTTCACTTACATCTGCTCATTTTCTCTCCCAATGCCTGTTATAGTAACCACTATTTCTCCTCTATACACCTGCTATGGTAACCACTGTTTCTTCACTTTTGTGTATTTGTTCATTGCAGCACTCACTATTCATAGTAGTCAAGATGTGCGAACAACTCAAATGCCCATTTGATGAATGGGTATGTGTGTATATTACAAATTATATGTTTATATACATATAATGAATGCAATGGAATTGTATTTAGCCTCATGAAAAGGAGATCTTGCCATTTCCCACAGGATGGGTAAACCTGAAGGACGTTATGCTAAGAGAAATAAGTCAGACACAGAAAGACAAACATTGCATGCTCTCACATGTAGAATAAAGTTTAAAAAGAGCTAGGGTCTTGCTCAGTGATAAGAGTGCTTGCCTAGAATGCATGAGGCCCTGGGTTTGATTCCCAGCACTGCAAAATAAATAACTAACCAAAAAAGAAGAGCTCAAGTACACAGAGCTAGAAAATGCCTCCATCTTATGATTAAGCACCTCTTTCTTTTTAAACAGCTCTGTATTAATCTACTGTGTGCAAGTATCATGATTTGTTTAACCTTATTGCCTGTAGGCAGACAGGGAGATTGTTTCAAATAGTTAACCATATCAACAATGAATAAGAGCACTTCTTTTTGCTCAACTTCTATTTCTTCAAAGCAATGGCCTTTACAATTGGGGTCAATCTCTTCCTGTACGTTTTCAGGACACAAACAAGCACATGTGTTGCCATACATAAATGTGTTTGTTCATTTTTTTGTTTTGATGGATTTGATTGGATTTATTTGTCATTGTTTTACCGTGCTGTGTGTGGGTAAAATATAGTGCTTTATTGTTGTTTTGGTTTGATTCCTGTACCTGAAATCTCTTCCCTTTCTTTTCTATCTATTAAGCCCAAATGTTTCTTCTCCTGTAAGGCATTCCTGGCTCTCTGAGTGGATGGAAGAACTTCCTTCACCTTGCTCCCAAGGACTTTGTACATAATTTAATCATAGATCCTCACTCTTCCTAGCTGTGCTGTAGTTCATTCTGCATTCTCTGTCTGCCTCACTTGGTTTGGAGATTGCATCAACTTCCTTTTTGTCTTTCTCATAGCAGCTGGATATAGGAGTTCTCCTGAAAGCTCAGGCATTCAGGGGCTGGGGTGTAGCTCAGTGGTAGCATGCCTTAAAGCTCTGAATTTGATCCCTAGCACTAAAAAACGACAACAAAAAACCCTGCAAAAAACCCCACAAAAATCCCCATCAGATCCGTTTTTCCATCTACACAGGAAAAAGAAGTAATCAGGGCTGTATCTCAACAGTATGCAAGGCATTGTGCTGTATGCAAGACATAGAATATTTTATTCATCCTTTTAACTAGTTCTTTGGATAGATAGAAAGATAAGCAGGGAGATAGATGATAGATGGTAGATAGATAGATACATTCATACATAAATAGCTCCCCACCCCATAACGGCCCCTTTTCCCATCTTCATTTATAATAAAACCCTTGAAGTTTGGCTGAGTTCTATTATTCTTGGTTGCCAAGAATAATGAATGTACTTCCCATCCTCCTTTCTTGCTGTGGGAGTGATATTTACAAACTCTGGGCTAGGCTCTTGAAAGGGAGGTACATGCATTTCCTTTCCATTTCCTACTGGCTGGTGTCTGGTTCCAGTGTTAAGCCATCTTCAACTGGTAGAGCAGCAGGAGCAGGGTCCTCTTGTACCATGAAATCACCAAATCAACCCTTTGCAGTTACTGAGAGAAATAAACATCTATCTTCTTTAAGCCTCTGTGCTTTGTGGTCATTTTGACAAGAGCCAAACTAATGTGGGTAGGTCCCATTATCCTCTCTTCAGAGTTAAAGACAGAAAATGAATCCCCAACTGCTAACTGGTTACTTCTAGAGAAGAGAGTAGAACGGGAAAAGGATGGTGGAAGATGCTCATTACTACATTTAGTTATGTGTTATTTTATTTTCTTAAAAGTAAAATAAATATATCTTTATGTTAATTATTTAAATACTTAAAAGCAAAAACAGTGATCAATTTAGAGTGAACCAAGTCTGGGACACTGAATCAAAAGTGCAATTGTAGACAATTGCCAGCAGGAGGAGCATTTGTCAAAAAAAAGAAGAGGCTACCAGAGTTCAAATGGAGCAAGACTGTGTGTGTGTGTGTGTGTGTGTGTGGTACTGAGGACTGAGCCCAGCATGCTAGGCAATTACTCTACCACTTGAGCTATGACACCCCAGCCCTTTTGTTTTTATTTTGGTTTTGAGATAGCATCTTGCTAACTTTGTCCAGGCTGACCTCCAACTCATAATAGTCCTGCCTCTGACTCTCCAGTAGCTGGAATTATAAGCATGTACCACCACTCCCAGTCATGAGTTAGGTATTTTTAAAGACCTGGCTACTAATCCAGAGCAATAGGATTTATTTCTGAACCAATTATGAACCAAAGATGGTTTTAAACTTTAAAAAATTCATGTCTTAATTGGTTCAAAAGAATTCAGTCATTTCTGTCTAAAAAAAAAATTCCAAATATGAGATGTTATTTGCTATAAGCAGGATTCAATTTTAGCCAGGCCCTTTCTGGTCATCAGTTAAACTCTGGTGATGTCTTGCTCGTCAATAAGGAACTTGGCTAACACAACATACATACACACATTCATACAATGAAACTTCATGCACAAGGAAGCATGAATTGGCTCCACATGTACTGCTATGGAAGTACGTCTAGGACATGTGTCAGGCAAAGAAAGCAAGCTGCATTCCACATGCTTACATACAAGGATGTGAGTGATTGTGTGTGTATGTATGTGTGTGTGCGTGTGTGTGTTAGTGACTTTCTTGAAAGGACAACTCATTATCAACTGAGAGACTTTCATTGTAAAGTGGAAGTAGGGAGACTAAGAACTTTTCCTTTACACTTTATAACTTTCTATACTATTTAAAATTTCAGCAGTGAGCATGTGATTTTTGAAAGTAGGTGTCATACACCAGTACTGACATTTTCTCTTTCACTTTCAGGGCGGCAGCATCTATTCAAGGAGAGATCCCATCTGTCCGTACAGAGCAGAGTGCCAGCCTTATCATTCCTCTCTTAGTGGCTTTGGCTTCAGGTTCTCAAATGTAACGAGAAGCCCGACTGTGCTGTTCTAACAGCCTCCATCCCCACACCCACCCTTGTGTGGTCCATGCCCTGTTGTGTGTGCCAAGTGAGCCAATCGTCTAAAGAAACTGCCTTCTGGGAGAACGTCCTAAGATGGAATGCCAATGACTTGTTCCCAGGAGTCTGGAAATAAGACATTAATCTAGTCCTGCATAGAGCTAATCTATTATATTAGAATTAAAGTTATTTTCTTATTTTTGTAATTTAACAAAGCATTGGACTATTGTATAATCGAACATAATCAAACATTCAGAAAATTCTAGTAAAACTATTATACTGTATGTATTATATAAATATATTCATGTATATCTAATATGCAAAGATTTATGTATAAAGATGTTCAATTAACGGGTAATTATGTTAAGAGAGCAACCCAAAGCATCTAATAATATTTACCCATTTTATTGGAACTGTTTGGACCTGTTTATACAAGGTTTGGTATACCTAGAAGAAGGAATATCATTTAACAAGTAAAAGTCAAGTTTACTACCCCAAATGTCCTTGAACTAATGAATGGATCAGTCAACTGTGGTACATCTATTTTGAGAAATACTGCTCAGCAGTAGAAAGTGTTCATATGGGCACTGATGTGGATAAATCTCCAATGCATTATGATAAGGGAAAGAAGCCAGACCAAAAGGCTACCTAATGCATGACTTTATTTATATGGCATTCTGGAAAAGGGGAAGCTATAGGAAAAGACAGTAGATGAGTGGTTTCCAGGGATGGGGGTACAGGGAGAGTCACATCTAGAGGGAGAAGCTAACTGAAGAGGACAGTGAGAAGGGAATGACGGAACTGCTCTCTGTCTTCACTGTGTTGGGTTGTTGTATGAGTCGTATTTCTGGAAACTCTTAGAGCTGCACATCAAAAAGAATAAATCCTTTTGATTTACTGAGGTAAATCAAGAAAATATGTCAACAAAGAACCCTTAACACCTAGGAAAATGTCAACAATAAGTACAAGAAGTAGGGCATAAAACTGTTTATCATATGATCCACTTGTCCAGAATATAATGCAAATTTAATAAACTATATTATGAATTGTGTAGGTATGCTGTACATATTATAAGTGAATGAAAGGAAATAACCCAAAAGGCAGGGCAGTTATATCTGGATTAGTGGCCTTACCAACAGTTCTATTTTTAATCTTCCCATATTTCCCAAATCTTCTCCAATGAGAATGAGTTACTTTTATAATCCGAACAAGAAACACATGCACATATATGTACAAAAATTTGACTCAACAGAGAAATAAACAAAAGCTTGTCACAGACATCTTGGTTCTCTTTACTCCTTATCTAACCTACAGTGCATGTGGATTGTCGGGCATGAGAGCTCCCTGATTCTGATGTCTGGAGCCAGCAGTGGCAGTGGAGCTCCTGGCCTCCCTGGAAGGCCCTAGCAATCTCTGTGAAGAATCAGAGTCCTGCCCAGGCACCTGGCCACACAGTGCTGCTCTCCATCCTGCAGCACTGAAGCTCTGTTTTCCTGACCCTGCCACTTTTCCACTGGACTAAGGGTGATAGGAGCGGCCCACTTGGTGGTGCACTTTCTCAATTTTTGTGGGCACATGATCAAATACCATAAACCTGGGAAAACACAGTTTTATGTTCACCCTGTATGTATAATTCAACCTTGTGTCTATTCAGAGATTATCTCAGACTGCCCTCGGCAGACCTCAGTCTTATTTTTCTGGAAATGATACAGCTGTTTTCTAGTTTCCTTGTCTTTCCATGTCTTTCTCTCCTGATTCCCCCTCATCTCCCATCTAATCCCTTCCTTTGTGGAGTCTTCATATACTACTGATCAGTCCCATGGTCCTCAATCCAGGGATTGTTGCTTCTCTGGTAGGAAAGTCCAGGCTACTTGGCCATTGCCATTTGTTGGGATTGAATATGGGTTTTCTCTTGAATCATGCAGGAATTTAATCCTCAAAGTTTTATATTAATATTTAAAGGGGGAAAACTTAATTTGACTATTGTGTTAAAAGGTGGGACTTTTGAGATGTGGTTAGATTAGATTAGGTCATTAGGGTGGCACCCTAGTGACTCTATAGGGAGAGGAAAAGAGACCACATGGAACAGAGTTGCACACACATTCCCATCATGATGGGATCCATACTGGGGGCAGTGGGAGGGACTCACGAGAACTTGCGCTATGCTGTTAGTACCTTATACATCCAGAACTGTGAGCCAAAATAAACCTTTTCTTTGTAAAGTAGCTTGCCTGCGTTGTTATATTATAGTAATTAAAAAACAGATGAATGTATCCTCAATCAACACTTACCCTCATTACTATCATAATGACAATAGCTAGCATTTATTGAGGTCTGTGTGACACTTTCCAGCTTTCATGTACAGTTGCTTGGTGGGACAGTGAATGCCTGCTCTATACCAGAATACTCTAAGGCCAGGTTACGGTAGGGCACAACCTGGACAGAGAGTGACAGAGGGTTGGGAAGCAGGTCAAGCTCAGAAAGGTAAAGGAAATAGACTGTGGGAAGTGAGACTGTAGAGGGACAAAGATCTGGTTGTGGTAGAGTGTGGTAGATGCAGCCATCAGTGTGTGTTGTAAATGTGGTGCCAGCTTCTTAGAGAAACTGTGCCCAGCTGGGCACCATTCAGTTAAATTGCTTGCTGTAAGCCAGATGTATTCTTTCTCCCTCCTGGGGGTCCTTTAGCATGCTGGTCTCTCTGCATTGACTTCCCTTTCTGCTCTGCCACCCATTTGGCTGACTTTAAGATCAGTAGGCATCACCTTCTCACTGGATGCTTCTGTCACTCCAGTGGGGCCTTCCTTGTTCTTTGTTTTTTGCTTTTTTCACCCCCTCTGCCCCAGAGAATTCTCCTAACACAGTCCATCTGCACAGTCTTGTCACTGCCTGGAACTGCGGCTTCTTTAAGGATATACCATCTTTGCAGCCCTGGCTTAGCCATGCCTAAATAAAGTGGACATCCCATCCATGTCTGAATAAAAGAATGGAATGTGGGAATAAACTGAGCTTTGAAAAGAAAACGGAGTGCAAATTTCTTTTTGTCAGAAGAGGTCAGGAATGAGAAGATTAAAAATCTCGTGTGCCATTGTTTTCTGTATTCACACCATATTTCGATAAAACACTTGAAGTATGTGGTATGTCTAGTGTGTGTGAAGGTAACAGGGAAAGAAGATGATACTAAGGAACATGATCCTTGGGAATAGAGAAAGAAAGAGAAAAGGACCTAACTGATCTCTAATTTACTTTGTCTCTGTAAACTCAATTGAGCCAACTTCTCAGGCTAAACTCATGGTAGCCCCAGCCAAGGAGTTCTGGTCTCTTAGGCCAGCTTGGAGAACACACTGTCCGCTGCTCCAGGTTGCCTGGGTTACAAGGGGTCTGACAAGTCACACTCAGCACACTAACTTTGACTTAATTAGATCCTGTCCTTTGGAGTTCCATGGAGAAGAAAATGATTTTACTTTCTTAAAAATTTTTTTGAATTTGCTTTTCTGATTATAAAATTAATGGTATCTGCTTACTCGAAAAAAATTTACCCAATACAGAAAAATTGGAAGGAAGACAAAAAATATCACCTGTCATACAACACACAAAGTATCAGTCCTCTTCTATGTATATTCATACATATTTGTATTTTAAAACATATGTGACAGTGTTTGGCATGGGATCATTCTAGAACCACCAAACAACAGGTTCTTGATCTTCTACAAGTTAAATTGCAGATCCCAAACATATCATTGCACCCTAACTGGTCTTCCTGCTTCTGCTCTATTTCCTCCTCCAGCCTAAGTCCTACAGTGCTGCCAGGGCAATAGTACTGAGCTAGGTCCTGATTGCCTCACCCTCTTGCTTGATATCATTGATGGCTCCCTACTGTCAGCAAAATAAAATATAAAATAAAATGTTTGTTTTTGTGGAGCGAGGGATTAAACCCAGGGCCTCATGCATGCCAGATAAGCACTCAACCACTGAGGTAATCCCCAACTTGAAGTAATTTCCCTTTGCCACAAAACACCTTCCTAGTGCTGTGCCCTGGGAGACCTCTCTACACAGTCCACATATCTTCTCTGAGTGCTCCATTCTCAACATAAGCCACCTATCTATATCGCAGACTTGCCCACCTCCTCCTAGAAGCCTTGCTTTGTTCCAGTTTTAGATACATGTGTTTTGATGTGTCTCTTGAGTACAGTGACCTTATCCATTTGTCTTTGTATCTGTCACAGTGCTTTACCCTAACTAGCCGTGACCCCCTCATAAGCATTTGATGAGTGAAGGAATCACTACAGAGTTTGCATTTAAAAGTGAGTGAGTTGGATCTCCCCCCCATTAAAGGGTTTTGGGGAGGCAGCCTAACATCATGACCAAGAGCCTGACAGTCTGGACAAGTATTGCGTTTAGCTCTTGCTAGCTGTGAGGCCTGGGTAAATCACTCACTGTGTCTGAGACGTTCAACCTCATTTGTAAGTAGGAATCCTAAGTACTCATTCATAAAGAGGGGAGCTAATATGTATAAAGAGCCCAGAACAGAGCGAGTCACAGGGCAGTCAGCACTGATTGTTATTGCTACTGTTCTTGGTATGAGTCTCAGAGCTGTTTGATAGTTGTCTAAACATACCTGCTAATACAGAACTAGCTCTCCACAGGTCAGCAGTTACTGTAGGGCATGCTCTGGGCAAAGTATTTTCATACATGGACCCTTTTAATCCTCACCCAGCTCTACAGAATCAGTGTTATTATTATCTTATTTTACAGATGAGAAGACAGAGACACAGAGACCTCACTCCTTACTTGGCCAAGGTCACTTTGCATGGCCTTTGGTTCTCCCTGCTCTGGGCAGAAGGCAGCAAGCTTCAGCAGGATCAGCTAAGAAAATTAGCAGTGTGTTTCTTTATCACTTGACAGGTCCTAGCATAGCACCTCCTGTCACACAGTGGGTGTAACTTAGTGCAGATCTGCAGAGGGAATGG